CGCGCCACCCCAGGTCTCCCGTGTCGAACCAGCCGTCGCCGGCCTTGAAGGCCTGCAGGCGCAAGGCGCGCGCGGGGGCGCTCAGGCGCGGGGAGCACGCCCCCTCCACCACTGCGCTGGCACCCGGCAAGGCGGCGGCGGCGCTGGGGTGGGGTACCGGGCACGGCGCCCCCAGCCACTGCTCCGCCGCCTGTGTGGTGCGCTGGTGCGTGCTCGAAGTACAGACAGGCATGCAGGCAGGCGGGGCATGCGGGCAGGCGGGCGGGCGGCTCCCCCACCTTGGCTGTGGCCCCAGGGTCTGCATAGTAGCCAGCCATGACGCCGGGCCCGCGCGCAAGCAGCAGCCCCTGCTGCCCGTCCGCCACCTCCTGCAGGCTCTCGGGGTCCACCAGGCGCAGCTGGGTGCCCGGGGTGGGCTGGCCTGCGGGCAGGGAGAGGGCGGGGCGGGGCCGGGGGGTCGAGCGGTCGCAGACGCCGCTGCGGCGGAGGGAAATGGCCCGACAGCGGCGAGCGGGCGGAGCGGCGCGAGCGGCGGCATGCGGCAGCGGCTGCGCCGGTGGCGGCGGCAGGCTGCGCGCGCGGGTTCGATGCCGGCCCGGCAAAGCCCGGCGGCACAGCGTGCCGCCATGCTTGCTTGGTCCCAGCTTCCTGCTGGTGTTGCCGCAGCCTCCACTCACCCACGCTGCCCCGCACGTTCTCGAGCGGCAGGTTGCGGCGGCAGGCCAGCACGGGGGACGTCTCTGTGAGGCCCCAGCCGTTGAGGATGGGTAGGCCGATGGACTGCAGGCAGGGGGCGCATGGGGGGCGGGCAGCGCCACGTCAGCAACGCAGCCCAGTCATGTGCAGGCAACTGGACGGTGCCGCCGCCCGGGCCTGGCGCCACCACAACCACCGCAACCGCCACAACGGATACACGCATGGAACTTAAAAACACACGCACAGCCACAGCCACACAGCCACACACACAGGCACACAAAGGCGCAAACACACAGCCACGAAGACACAGCCACACAGACAGCCCCCCCCCCCCCCACACACACACACAGCCACACACACCACCACACAGGGGCACCTCGTAAAAGTCCTCCAAATTCGGCGCCCGGGTGCCCCCCCCCCTTAACACCCAACCCCGGATGCCCAGCGCCCTGGGAACCTTTGTGGCCACCAAGGGCTTGCACAA